AATAAAAGGGCTGGGGGAGCAAGTGTGACTTTGTGTGCCGATGTCCTCACAGGTTGATATCTCTCACATCTGTGGGAGTGCTGGCCTGGTCCAGTTCATCCACCGTCTTAGAAGGATTGCTTTGCTGTTGCTGCTGCCGGACTTGCCTAAGGCTGTTTACTAGCACCGCCTCGATCTGTTCTTGACAAGCTTTAAGGCAGTCCTAGAGGACAGAAAGCAAATTGAGCTGTTAGTGCAGATAGATATGTGTTGTTGTTTTACTGAGCTGGCAGAATTTGAAAGACCATCAATCTGGTATCCCCAAGGAGTGTCTGCTGTGACAGAAAATGACCTTGAATTCTCACAGGCAATCGCTGTGTACAAACCCCCTTGGCTAAATGCTAATAACAAATTTATTGGACTCTCCAAATCTTAATATTTCACCTGTTCTTGCTCATTTGTGTGGTTCTTGAGCAGGAACCCAGTGTGTTGCAAAAAATGATGGGCAAGGAATATGAATTTTTGCATTCTTCTGTGCAGGGTAAGTGACTTGGGTGGGTCTTCACTACAGAAAAGCTGCATTTTTCTCCTGAAATAATGAATATTTGCTATACCAAAGTCACACTGATAGAGGCACTTCAGTTTTACCATCAAGCAAATTGATGGTAAATCAAAGTGAAGAAGTTCTGAGGTCCCTGAAAAAGCACAGTGCTATTGCTGAGTTTTTATTAGTCATGCATTTGTGTCCTCAAGACGAAGGGACAAGAAGGGCCTGTTTATCTGCGAAGATTCAGGCAAGGGGACTGAACGCTGCAGCCCCAAACACTCAAGCCATGTTATTCTCTGAGACCATCTCACAGGAGAAAAGTGATTTCAGCAGGGGAGGAGGAGGCGATGATGTAGGGTACGCTCCCACACCTTCACGTTGAAAGCAGGACTATTTTAACAGCCCCGGGAATACTTACTGGCAATAATTCACAGAAGACATTAAAGCAAAGACAGCTGCTAGAAGAAGATGTAAGTCAAAAAGTCAAGCCTCAGAGACCACTACATTACAAATTATACTACACAACACATGGAGAAAAAGCAGGATACAGTACAACAACACAAACTTGGGAGCCCTGTACATAAGGAGTCCCACAATGAACACAAAGAATGAATAAATAAATAAATAAATAAATAAATAGATAGATAGATAGATAGATAGATAGATAGATAGATAAATAAATAAATTTGAAAGATTCATCACACTTAAGCCAGACACAGTGATGAAGAAGACAACTATTAAAACATTACAGGATGTTCCACATTCTTGATAATATGCTGGAAGACCAAATAATATGATTTTATAAAAAAAAAACCCAACCCAGAAGTGTGAGAAAGCATTGACAAACACTTGGTTATAGCAGAAACTGAAAAATAAGAAGTATGGGAGGCAACTACAATGCTGAAGAGCTGGGCTCCGACCAACACCCCCCACTTTCTCTCCACGATACCAGGTTATTCAGGAGAGTTTGAAATATTCATGTATGGAGGTTTAATTTGTCATCCTAGCCAGACTGGGAAAACACGTCAAATGCGGAGTATCTGTTCTGCTGACGATATTTAAGTTCGTGATGCACACAATTAGCTCTGGTGGGTCACAAACACCCATTTTTCTTGGCTACTAGCCAGCAGCTGGCTGGCTGCAGATTCATGTGCTCTCCCTGTCGTGAAACTGCCCTGCTTAATATAATGAAGCATCACAACCTGTCTCTGTAGGTGCATCTGCCAAAGACAGGCTGTGAAGGATGGCTTTTCAAACCGACCCAGGAAAAAGGGGTTGGATGAGATGCTGGCTTGATTAGAGACAAGAACAGTCACCGTGATGTGGATCACGTCCAGCTAAAGCCAGGTGAGATCTCTCGAGTGTCTGGGCTATCCATGTACAGTCTGACTCAGAAGTTTGTCCCCTCAGCATGGGGAGTGAAAGAGTACGGGGCACAGCAACAAACCTCTGCTGCAACACTGTGGGTGTCCAGCAGGCAGACCGAGCTTTCTCCATGTTCACCTTTTGTCCCCAGAGTTGGGGACTGTGGGACTGCTCCTGAGAAAGGAGCTGTGCTTAAGTTAACTGGCTTGTGGCCATACCATACCTTACCCCAACACAACTCAGCTGTAAGCAGTGCTTCTCACGGCGAGCAACTTTCCCAAGTCTCAGCCACTAGAACTAAATTTTCCCACACTTTGCCCTCTTCCTCAGTCTGGCTTTTTATGGAGGGGGAGAAACCACAACAAAAAAAAAGTGCTGCTATGTCCAAGGAAAGGGTTAAGGAAAGCAGGTGATTTTACCAACAGTAGCCAGCTCTTAATCAAAGTTGTATTTTTTGGAGAAGATTATAATTAGAATTTGGCATGGCGCATGGAGAGGGGGTCAGATACCTTTTGATATCCGCAGCCCATTTTAGCAAAAATACATGGCTCAGAAAACTGCATACTGCATTCATTCAGAGCCCTTACGCTCAAGGTCTGTGCTTTGGAGGGAGGCAATCACCACCCCTGTTTGCGTCTAAGCCCGGCTGAGCACAGGAAGGTCCGTGTAGGGGTATATGGGAATTCCCTGCCAGCCCAGTTTACCCCCCTGTGGAAACCAGGTTATAGGAAAAATGGTACGTGTGTGCCGTACCACTGGTGCAGAGCCAGAGCATAAATGAAGCGTGATGCCAAGGAACCTGGGACACGGAGGGTTTGTTTAAGATGGCCTGGGGAGCACTGGACACTGAATTCAGGTGACTGGCTGTAGGCTCCTCACCTTGTGGAGCATCACACTCTGCTCCTGAGCTCCAGCAGGCACCAGTGTAGCTCACAATACTGCAAAGGAGTGCTGCAACCTGCTCTTGGACACACTGGAACAACGCCTGTGCCAGATGTATTGCAGAGATCACCCCGAGCTGCCTCTGGGTTGTGCCCTGATCTCCCTTGCTCCTGTAATTCATCCCGACACTGTGAGCAGGAATGATACCTCTCATCTTCAGAACCACCGAACACCTGAAATGTCAACTCAGCGGGATGCAGATATTACTGGTGTACTGAAGAAATGACCACTTAAGAGAAACATCAGGAAGGCTGTGTTAGAAAACACTGGTCTCAGTGTGCCTGGTCACTGCCTCCACTGCCCCGAGACAGGACACCAGCTCGTCCCAGCACCCAGGCTATGGCCCTGGGTAGACCCACACTGGGCTGCATCTCTATCTCCATCCCCACACCAGCACCCAGTGCCTTTCTCAGCCACCCCACGCTGCAGAACTCCTCATACAGCAACTGTGCTAGCAGAAGGTTAATCAAAAAAACGCGCAGTTACCAAACACGTGGTTCGTGCATCGGCTTCCTTACAGCTGGGGTGTGATGGAGGAGGGCACACCTAAACCCGGGACTCCCAGAGCTGCCTGTCAGGCAGAGCATGGAGCACCAGCCTGTCCCTGCCTGCACTCCCATTGTCTGGAGGCTGCTGCCCTGGAGAAAAGGGAAGCTTTAGTATCTAACTTACTTGCATTGGAGCAGGAAGGCTCAGAAGTGAGAGACCAAGGCAAATGACTCTGAAGGTGCAATAAAATGTGAACGCAGTGGATTTTCTGGTGATGAGATCTAAGGCAGATAAACAAAATTTAACCTCATGAGGTTCTTCCTTTCCTTTTAGCAAAGGTTGCTGTCTGTTGCTACTTTACCGCTACTGCTGGCAAAGCTTATTTTTTTAAGGTAAGAATATGTACTTTTGTTTAACCAGGTAAATGTTTTTTTATAGCTGTGGCTTGCTCTTGTATTATTTGGAGCATAGTAATTTCCTAGTACTGGAATTGCTTGTTTAATGATGGGAGCTGGACAAATTCCTCAGCCTTTCTTCCGAAAGTACCTATCTGGCAAAAGCTATCAGGAACTTGGATAAAGAAAATCCCCCGTTAATAGCTTGGGCGGGTTTCAGGTCCATTGTAAGCATTCACCTGTTTGTGAGAGGGCAATGGCAACAAGTCACTTCAGGGGCCAAGGCATTTTCAAATGAAGAAAGAGCAGGAGCACCAGTATAGAGACTCATGTAACAGACTACACTCGTTATCTTTTTTTTTTTTTTTTTTTTTGGTCTAAGAGTCTCTTCTTCTAAAGCACAGTGGTGCACAATTTCAAAATAGTATGTTCTTCTGAAAATAAGCCAGATTTTTTACAAGCAGCTTCAGACTGGAGAGCTTAATGAGGCAATTTCCTTGCAGCCAGGCTTGGGGAAGGAAGGGGTGGTGGCACATGGAACATAAGATGTGAGCATTTGGAGCCAACTTTGTCTGTTTCTAAACACCCGTGATCATTTACACTGTTGTTACACAAACTTCTGATAGTCAATATGATGCTTTAATGTATGAAAAGGCTAAAATCTCTAGGTAATCCTATAGAGAAATGGGACATTTCTGATGTCTTCATTTTGTACATAAAACCAATAAAGGGGGCCCAGACTGGAATTGTCACAGTTTGCATGGATTTTATTTCATACAGGGATCCACAGGCCACTGATGTATTTTTTCTGTCATGTGTTAGCTCTGGTCTACACTTACGTTTTGAACTTAAAATAATGTACCACTGAATTCTTTAAAACAAAGAGCACTATGGTAAAATGACCAGCATGTTGCATTCAGCATGAAAGAGCTTCCCCAAAAAGTGTAGCTATTTGCATACTAAAGCTCAGGTTTTTATTAGTCTGAGTAATAGATTCTGTTTAATTAGTCTTGCCTATGAAGCAGCCATCCAGGAGCTGAAATTGCCTGGCCAGGACAAGCCAAAAACGGTGAAACCTTTATTTTGCAGGTTGTCAAGTTCTACAATCAAAATCTAGTAAGGAAAAAACCCCCAAGGCCAGACTCATGAGTGAACCTCATTCATGCAGCAAAACAAGCTGGAACACACCAGCAGATGCAGCTCAAACTCTGATGATGGAGATACAACACTCGGCCACCCAAGGCTGCGGCTGTGCAATCGTTAATGCTGGCTCTGCGTGCTACCCCATCAGCCAGCCATCCTGGTTTGCTGGCCGTCAGACTGCTGCTGCCGACGGATTCAGGTCACACGATGGGTTTTTACTCACCGTGGTAGCTGTGGGACAACAGACCATACTGGCACAGCACAACGTCAGAGTGCTGTGGACAGATTTGAGCAACGTGTTTCATGCCAGGTGAGATGCCAGCTAAACCTGTCAATGGCTTT